CATAAAAGAGCATACCAAAAAGGACCAAAGTTCAACCCCTTTGATGCTTTTTGGTAACATGCCTAATTAAAAATAACTAGGCTCTCCAATGCATAATTACACGAACACCTAATACTCTAAATTTCCAGCCAATTTTGCTTCAAACATAAATATGCACCAGAAGTCTGCATGATCGACATACTACTCCCTGCAGTATCTTTACTGTTTCTGAATCAAGGCTCCTTCTTGAGCTCAGTATTTTCACTACATTTCCTTGCTGTGCAATCATTTCCCAGTTGGACAATTAATAAGTGCTTTTTCTCCACAGCCCTTGGCATGTAACCCCCCTTACCCTGTATTTGAGCATGCACTATATACCTTCTTCACTCACTGGTTTTGGCAGTGACCCACAATCTAAATCTCTTTCCTCCATTTGATATAAGTGAAACTATAATTATCTAGAGGTAATTTCAAATTACTACTTCATTCCACTAGCAACTGATGAAGATTAGTGGTCTTGCCTTGGCATCTGAGTAAGTCAGCAACACAATCACAAGAGAACTCAGCAGGCAACATTTGATTCATGCGAACTCAATTACTTCTGTCAAACATATTCACTTCAATAAAAAGCAGAAACTTCCAAAATGGGTTTTTGCTAACAGTTTTGTACTCAGAAAAATTTCACATGACTCTTAAGGGAAAAATGGCATGAATTTTCTCAGAAATAACAATAAATAATAAGTATGAAAACATGCTTGTAAAATGGATTTAATATATTATTAGTACCTGAAAATAAAGAATATCTCAAACAAATAAATTTGAATACTTAAGGCAGTTTATTATAGAAAATTTAGGCATATAAGTAAGCCTTCAAAAAATAAATGCACTCTATATTTTAAGTTGATAACAGAAACCAGCATATTTGGTTACTTTGTTAAAATCAGATAATTATGGAAAAGGTAGTTAAATTCTTATAAAGGAAATTAAATAAGTAGACATGGAGATGACAGATCATGATCTGCTATTGATTAATGGACAGGGACTCCTGAATCACTTCTTGGTTGTCTTCTGGGTTGAAGCCATATGTTAATGAGCTGCCTAGCATTTTGCTTCTTGAAGGTTTAGTTGCTAAGAGACTGTGGGTCAGGTCTATCATGTCCTCCTTGTGTATCAGCTAACATGAAAATGATCTGAAAGCAACTACCTGGTCACCTCCTAGGAAATCTTAATATATGATAATCATTACAATAGGTTTACTCAACTTTAGCTTCTTATATTTATAGCCTTAATTATATCACAACATATTTTGATTATCAAAGAAACCAAGTAATTAAATGTAAGTATGTAATAAGGCTATATTTATAAATAAACACATTTTAGCATGTGATGCTTTGAGGTCTACAAAAGTCACTAAGATAACGTCTATAACAGTTAATATATCATATGCCAATCATATACCATTTAATATTTGAAACTTTGAAAATTTGGCCTGAGAATCTTAGGACTAAGTAAAGATTAATTTAAAAGACATTTGTCAATTTTGTGACCAATGATGTTTCCTACAGGTAACAAAGGTAAACAAAGGTAAACAAAATTACTTATTTAAAATTAATAATTTTAACATAGTATTTATAAAATAGATAACTAACTTTTGAACTGTGGTGTTGGAGAAGACTCTTGAGAGTCCCTTGGGCTGCAAGGAGATCCAACCAGTCCATCCTAAAGGAGATCAGTCCTGAATATTCATTGGAAAGACTGATGCTGAAGTTGAAACTCCAATACTTTGGTCACCTGATGGGAAGAACTTACTCATTGGAGAAGACCCTGATGCTGGGAAAGATTGAGGGCAGGAGGAGAAGGGGCCAACAGAGGATGAGATGGCTGGATGGCATCACCGACTCCATGGACATGAGTTTGAGTAGGCCCCAGGGGTTGGTGATGGACAGGGAAGCCTGGCATGCTGCAATTCCTGGGATCGTAAAGAGTCAGACGTGACTGAGCAACTGTACTGAACTGAACCAAGAGAGCTAATAGGAGCAAAGCCATGCAGGATCTTAGGCTATTTTATAAACTTTATTTGAAGGAGACAATTATATGTGTGTGTGTATATATATATATATGTATATATATATATATGTATATACATACATGTATATTTGAGTATAGTCGATTTGCAATGTTGAGTTAGTTCCAGGTGTACAACAAAGTGAACTAGTTATTGCGTATATGTGTATGTGTGTGCACTTTTTTAGATTCTTTTCCTATACAGGCCATTACAGAGTAGTGAGTAGAGTTCTTGTGCTATACAGCAGATCCTTATTTCCTTATTAGTTATCCATTTTAAATACAGTAGTGTGTTTATGTCAAATCCAATCTCCCAGTCCATCCTTAAAAAAAAAAAAGGAAACTATTGAAGCACTTTAAGTGTCTTGGGAGTAGGAAGGGACTGGGAAGATAGGTTTGTGCAAATACCAGATTTGTGTTTTTGTACAGGTGACACACTCACATGGCTCAAAACCCAAAACTATATAAGAAGCTATTCATTATTTAAAAATAAAGTTTCCAACAAGATATGCTTACAGATTGGAGGAAAAAAGGAAACAGAAGAGTGGATGATTTTATGAGAGCTGGGTGGGAAATTTATAAATACTTTGTGAGGTATTGAAACTGAGAAGTGAGCAGGAAGGATATGTCAAGAACGATTCTTAGATTTCTGACCTACCAAGGATATTCCCAAAACAGCAAGATCCCCACTTAGAGGTTTGTGGATAGCACATTAAAACTGAAGAAAGAGTTACAGTGGAATTTTATATGACACACACACACTCATACACTTACATTTGCGCATACATATTTTGAATAGGTTTAAATACATATATTTATTTATATGGGACCATCTGTGATGCCCTAATTTTCCAAGACAAACCTTCAACATTTGTTTATTCACTCAGTAAATTATTTACAGAATAAATGTTTGAAATGCCTCATAGAATGGCCACATATCACTGGTACACGGGAAAACACCAAGAGGCACTGTTCACACAGACTACATTGTGCAGAACATCTTCTGCGGCAGGGACTGCGAGGGGCTGTGTAGTCTACTGCCTTCATGACCCCGTTGCCCTCGTCCCTCCTACCAGAGGAGGGTAATAAGCACATTAAGACAGAATCCAGTTGAGTGAAGCTTCTACCAAGCGGCCTCTCCTTTTTCTCTCAGGCCTCTACTCCTCAACTACTAAGAGTGTGAGAGGAGAAAGACGCAGTGGATTCATGCATTAAAAGCATCCTGTCAGAATACTACTTCCCCCAGGTATTTTCATGATAAGCACCTGCAGAATATTTTAACCCCAGCAACAATAAAAAATTATCCTCTGAATGCAAAGGTCCTTTATACCCTGTACCAATCTGGATGAAGACAAAGATCATTGTGTTCTGAACTAAAGTTACCACATATCATTCATGAAAATGATATAAATAGATAATCAAATAGAGCATGCTGCCTTTTAATACTGGTAAACAAATTCTTAGAAATAATAAGATTTTGTAAGCATTTTAGGGAAAACAATGCAATGTAGTCAATGGGTTATCTTTAACTCCCACTGCTGATTCTACAGTTACATATATCTTCACCCATGCCAAGAAGATTGCTCAAAAAGAGAAGTTAAAGTAATGTTAGTTAAAACTTTCCTTTAAATTCAACCCTAAATAAAATCTGATTCATTTCTTTGACAAATCTAAAGGCATACCTGAAAAATAATTTTGATTTAATAAAACTTTATATACAAAGGAATAGCGAGTTGTAGATTACATGGAGAAATAATCATGCACTTAATTGTAGATGATAATACAAACATGAGCTGATGCAAATACGGTGCAATGCATTTCTAGAGACAAATAAGCAACGTCAGTTTGGTTTACAGATTAGTGTTGTTTCCCTGGCTCTACAGTCAATCTACAGTCAAGCCTGAAGAAACGTGAGCAAGGCTGAGCCACATTACATACTGAATTTAGAAAATAAACTGCACCTGAAGCTACCAATGGGCACAGGGGACTTCTCAGTATTTGGTTTTCTCTTCAGTTAAGACACATTAACTCTCATTACCTATTTGGTATGTGCATATCATGGTGAAAACAAGTTGAGGTTCATAAGGATTATTTTTTTTTTCCTCTAAGGAAAATGTGTTTTCTTCCTCATAAGCTGTTCTTCACTTTGACATAAAGTACTATCCTGTTTCATGAAGCCACTGAGAAAGATCCAAGTTTTAAAGGGCAAGTCACCACACTGTGGACAAAATCAGAGTATTTTCAAATGAAAAAGAAGCATGCATGATCAAGTTTCAATTTAAGAGAAAAATTAAAACAGAAAAAAAATCCAAGTGCAAACTGCTTTGAAATGACCTTTCTGTATTGGTTCTTTCTCCAAACAGTTACATTCTTGAGCATTACTTATTATGCATTTAAAGTTAGCCTGTAAATTCTTAAAAGCAAGTATGTAATAGCTATTATATGCAAAGAACACGGTAAACTAAGTCCTGTCACTTTCTACATATGTCCAATGAAGTTCATATGGCAGAACTCATACCTAAAGAATTTTTAAAAGGCAGTTAAAGGCATGCCAAAAGTCTCATCGAAGTTTACGTTTGAATTTCACATAACAAGAGTTTATTTTTCTCTTCAGAGAGACAGAGTCATGACAGAGTAGCAGATAAACAAGAAATAATCCCTTGAAGTGAGTTGCTCAAAAATAAAATTCCTGCAAGCAAAATGAATATGAAATACTACACTGCAAGTAAGACACTCTCTGAGTACTAATTATGCATATCCAGTAGAATATAACTTCAAATCTTTCATCATTGCCATAAGTTTTACAATTCTGAGAGGAGAGAAATCAAACTTGAAGAGAAATAATCTCCATAAATTAGCAAAGTAAAAGGTCATTTGCTCATAATCACTGGAAGATATACATAAACATGATCCAAGGGAAGCAGACAGCCCCTGCAGATCCGCAGGCAAACTCTTACCTTGACAGGTGCCGTTTTTCTCTTCGTATCCGGCCTTGCACATGCATTTCCCAATGGGTACCAGCCACTCTCCTTCAGCGCTGCAGTGCATTTTGGGTGGTTCGTCTGTCACAGAATGGTTGACACAGGAGCCTGCCACTTCAAGTAACTGTGAAGAATCAGCTCCAGTAATTGTGTCAGGGAAGACAGCTAAATGTCGTACCACAGAAGGGCATTTTTTATAATACACTCGCACTGAAACAAGAGCAATGCAAGCACCCACATCTTGAAAAGCGAGATAAAATCCCTTTTTGCTTAGAGGTCCTACATCTCTGACCTCTGTATTCAGTTTCATGACACGGTCACCAAGATCAAGTTCTGTAAAGCTTTCATCGGCAGCAATGGTATCAATTTTGATGTACTGGTTTTCCTTGATGTTTCTCCCATTCTCATTATCTGACTCAAAGTAATACATGTTGAAAGTCTCCTTACAGGTCCCCAGCCCTCCAGGAAGACTGTTGCAGTCCCGCAGAGTAAACTTGAGTTCTATGAAGATTCTGGAAGCACCTTCATTGGAGATCCAACTGGTCAAAAGCCAGTTATTCTGGTTCTGTTCCATAACTTTGCATACTTGGTATGTGTGGATAGGGGCATAATTTTCATCAACTTCACCAATCTCTTCCCACTATAGAATATAAAATAGAAAAAAAAAGTAAAAAGATGATTAGAAAATAACCAGAAAAATAAAAGAAAATTAATTCAGATGTAAAATTTCTTCAGCCTCAATATACAGTATTGAGAGAAAGAGATATACAATGAAAATTTAAAAAAATAATTTCCCTTTTCAAATTAAATAAATCAGCAATATATTAGTCATTGTCTCAAATGTAACTCAGGTGTGAACACAAGTGAATGATATTCTCCAGAAAAATCCATGTATTTCAGAGTAAAAATAAAATTCAATATGGAATATGATTAACAAAAAGCAGTGAAAGGGAAGTATGCATATTTGGAACAAAGTTTTTAGAAAAGGAAGTACAATTTTTTAAAACCATAACAATGAGAAAAAAGCAGCAAATGAAGAAAAGAAGGGAGAAAAACATGACTGATCCACACTCAACTCTCAAACAACACAACAATGTAATAAAACTTGAAAGAAAATTCATTAGCTTAAAATTAATAGTTTATTTCATTGAACCAATCTGGTAGGACTCTTTTAAGAACTGAGTTGAAAGTCGTTCAGCCATGTCTGATTCTTTGCGACCGCATGTGGAATTCTCCAGGCCAGAATATTGGAGTGGGTAGCCATTCCCATCTCCAGGGGATCTTCCCAACCCAGGGATCGAACCCAGGTCTCCCGCACTACAGGTGGATTCTTTACAAGCTGAGCCAAGGAAGCTCAAGAATACTGAAGAGGGTAGACTATCCCTTCTCCAGCAGATATTTCCGACCCAGGAATGGAACCCGGGTCTCCTGCATTGCAGGCAGATTCTTTAACAACTGACGTACCAGGGAAACCCCCCAAATTGTGTTATGAAGGGTTTATTCATACATGTTCCCACAAATATAAACCTAAAGACAGAAAGAAAATAGAGATATGCAAATTATAGACTAGTAATATGGTGGAGAAGGAAACGGCAACCCATTCCAGTATTTTTGTCTGGAGAATCCCAGGGACGGAGGATCCTGGTGGGCTGACGTCTATGGGGTCGCATGCATGCATTGCAGAAGGAAATGGCACTCCAGTATTCTTGCCTGGAGAATCCTAGGGATGGAGGAGCCTGCTGGGCTGCTATCTATGGGGTGCACAGAGTCGGACACGACTGAAGTGACTTAGCAGCAGTAGCAGCAGCAGCAATATGGAGAAACTTGTCATTTCAAACACTGTGATTTTTTGTTATACATAACCTGAGAATGCATTAATTCTTTCTTACTAAAGCTTATTTTATGCACAATGACCTTAAAAGTTATGATTATATATACAGGATGTAGAAAAATTAAGTACAATTTATATAGCTTTCAAAATACTATTCAGTTAAATAAGAGATCTAAACCTCTCTCTCCTAGCAAACTATCAACACTACAGTTCTGAGAATGTCAGTGTACCATACCACATTTTATACAGTGTAAATCAGATTTTTACTCTTCATAAAGATGTTATTATAACAAAATATTTTAAGCCTGTCTAAAATCTATGGGAATAAAAGTACATGCAATTTTGTTGTAAATCTTTAAAAATTATCCTGAAACACAGACAGCAATGAAACCGTACATACTGACTTTCAATAAATCCAAAATGTGATTTCAGACATTAAGTATTATAGATAATAAACTTCATAGAACTTCATTTCTTTAGACATGAAATTAAATGGAGCATTACTGCTTGATTCTGTTCAACTGACACAGATGTGAAAAATGGCATCACAAGGGATGCACATAAATCGTATACCTTCGATGGCCCCTCTCAGAATTCTAGCTGTCATCAGAAAGACAAGTAAAAGGTGTTAATGAGGGAAAACTGATGAGCTCATTCAAATCACAAGATAGACGTCAAGACCGTATCTTACCTAACAACATTTACATTAGAGTGTTACATGAAACCTTCGTTCATTCATTTAATCTCACTTTTGCCCCCTCTCACAATGTATATAAATCGTACTTTGCCTCTGATTTTATTAATCAGCTTTGTCTCTCATTAAACTATTTACAGTTTCTTTATGAAGCCATCCAGGTATCAATGCTCTTTATTATAAATGGTTACTAAATGCCATGCTTAATATTTCATGGAAAAAAGCATCTCAACTAACCAAATCAAAATAACAAAAATGATTACTTTATTGTAATAAGATTAAATGTATTTCCTTTGAATTAATAAATCAGAAAAGAGCATCAAAAAAACTCTTCCCTGAAAATGGAAAACCAAAATGCCACATTATCTCTGTTTTAGATTCTCTTATTTTTTAAGAGTTTTCCAATGCAAATCACAAACATATTTCTAATCCCTGGCCTTGAATCATTTATAAAAGACCTATTTCTGCATCATATAGTCCAACAGGTCCCTGCTAGCAAGTCAAAAGAACTGGACAAGTAAAAGGAATAGTAGCATTTTGCAAGATAATAAGGCAAGAAATTAACAGTCTTTGTCTGTACAAAGTCCAAGGTACCACAAATATTATTAAAAATGCAAGCCAAGCAGCACTTGACAAGACAGCTTAATAGGTACTGCTTCGGGTGATAATTTCTAAGTATGTGCTTAAGTATGTTACTCCTCTGAATATTCTCAATTAATAAGACAAAAACTGTAATTTTCTTTGATGTTAGAATATATCACGGTGGGATTTTATTTTTCTTTTCAAGTGTCCAAAATATAAATGAAGGCTCACATTTTCTATTTCTAATGAATGAATAGGAATAATTTAATTTAAATAATTATGGCCATAAGCCATTCAGAGACTCAAAAAGGTAATATAGATGCATTTCCAATAAATAGCTGCTCCTATTTAGACAAATACACTAAGAAACAAACAAAAACATTTCCTTTATTTTAGATTGGCTAGCTGAAATAAAATGCTGAATTCTTCGAAGTTGTCTTCCCTTTTAATACAAAGAAGACATCTTGCTATCTTCAGCAAATATCTTATTTACAAAGAAGAAACAAGTGGATGAAGAGAAAGCAACACTCTCCAAGAACTTAAGATAACAACAGGTATATTCCTAGACACTTTTGCAAATGTCATGTCAACGAATTACCATAATTTAAAATAAATGACCCAATCAAAAAATGGGCCAAAGAACTAAACAGACATTTCTCCAAGGAAGACATACAGATGGCTAACAAACACATGAAAAGATGCTCAACATCACTCATTATCAGAGAAATGCAAATCAAATCCACAATGAGGTACCATTACACGCCAGTCAGGATGGCTGCTATCCAAAAGTCTACAAGCAATAAATGCTGGAGAGGGTGTGGAGAAAAGGGAACCCTCTTACACTGTTGGTGGGAATGCAAACTAGTACAGCCACTATGGAGAACAGTGTGGAGATCCCTTAAAAAACTGGAAATAGAACTGCCATATGACCCAGCAATCCCACTCCTAGGCATACACACCGAGGAAACCAGATCTGAAAGAGACACGTGCACCCCAATGTTCATCGCAGCACTGTTTATAATAGCCAGGACATGGAAGCAACCTAGATGCCCATCAGCAGACGAATGGATAAGGAAGCTGTGGTACATATACACCATGGAATATTACTCAGCCATTAAAAAGAATTCATTTGAATCAGTTCTAATGAGATGGATGAAACTGGAGCCCATTATACAGAGTGAAGTTAGCCAGAAAGATAAAGAACATTACAACATACTAACACATATATATGGAATTTAGAAAGATGATAATGATAACCCTATATGCAAAACAGAAAAAGAGATACAGATGTACAGAACAGACTTTGGGACTCTGTGGGAGAAGGTGAGGGTGGGATGTTTCGAGAGAACAGCATCAAAACATGTATATTATCTATGGTGTAAGAGATCACCAACCCAGGTTGGATGCATGAGACAAGTGCTCGGGCCTGGTGCACTGGGAAGACCCAGAGGAATCGGGTGGAGGGGGAGGTGGCAGGGGGGATCGGGATGGGGAATACATGTAAATCCATGGCTAATTCATGTCAATGTATGACAAAAACCACTACAATATTGTAAAGTAATTAGCCTCCAACTAATAAAAATAAATGAAAAAAAAAAGAAGAGCATAGACAGAAAATGCAATATTTTCAGTGTAATTCTGTTGGAATTCCTATGCTTCCATAGCATAATAAAAGTATTTGCTGATTACTGTAAGTGAGGTGCTTGGGCAGTTTGGACACGTGGTCATTGCACATAATTTAGTGGGTTTAGTTCTATTCTTGTCCTGCTACTCCTCAAACCCCACCCTCTAAGCCTAGACTTTTCTCTGTGTTTGTTTTCTCCTCATTCCTATTCCTTTGACTTAATATTAAAGAATTGATTACACATCCAGCTTGAGCTGGCTTAATTTCTCTCTCAAACTCTTGGGCTTGCTTCTTTCCCCACTGGCCACTGAAAACAAACCAGTTTCCTTCTAATCCCATGTTTGGCCAGGCATCAAAAGTCAGCCAAACTCATCAGAGAAGTGGAAAAGAAAAAGGACTGGTTTTCATATCCATATGTGTATCATGGAGTTACCAACTTTTCCTACGCAAGCTATTAAGAGCTAGTTTTCTCCCTGCCTGCCTCTCACAGGCCTATTTGATTTCTTCCCCCAAGCTCATATTGTCGCTTATATTCTTAGCATTTATTTCATTTCCAAGCCCCTTGCCTGTACAACACCTCGTGTGCATTCACAGTTTAAAATACTGACTCAGGACACTTAGCCAAGACTAAAATCTCCCCTTACACTATGCCCCCAAATACAAATGAAGAATCATCAAGTGAACGAAGTCATTTTGACCTTTCAGGTTATGGGGACACCTGGTATTTAGTTCTGTTTTCATTATTGTGTGTTTATATGTTTTACATAGAGATTAATTTACTGAGGCTAAAGCACAGTGATCAGAAGTACTGTAGCAGAGGCCTGTATATACACACTTAACTGATCTTGTATAAAGGAAAGATTATCAGCCTTAAGTCCTAGAATTAGTCCCAGCTTTTACAGTATCTAG